TGTGTGTGTGTGTGTGTGTGTGTGTGTGTGTGTGTGTGAATAAAAGATTCAAACAGATTACAAAATTACAAATGTTCATGCCGGACATCCTGGTGTTTGGAGAAACCTTGAGTTCCTCTGAACATTGTCAGCGATGTCTTCGCAGGGAAAGCTGACGACGAAACGTGTACTGCTCCCTCAACGTGGGAATTTGTCCATCTGCAGAATTTCTCCTCTCATCTGAGATCCTCCTCTCCTGAGACGCTGACGTGTCGCTGCTCCTGCGAGGCAGATTCTGCTCCATCTTCCGAGCTTCCTTAATTACGCCCCAAAAACAATTTATAATCTGTTAGTGTCCAATCCAGGGTCAAATCACAGCATGTATTCAGGGTTGAGTTTTCTCTAAGCACATAGGATGTGATGTCTGAGATTACAGTGAACACAGTGACAGCAGGCGTGACTCAGCAGATCTGACCTGAACAGGTGGTTTTACCTCTTTGTGGAAGCGTTGCATGCAGTGAGGCTCCTGAACTTCTCCACTCTCNTAGTGGAACAGTGGGAATTCCCTGTCGGAAAGTTTGCGTTCAGCATTCAAGATGGCAGCTACCAGTGGTGGGCATGTTTCTGCTATTTACCATGCATCTACTAGCAGAATAAACAGATTCGTTTTTTCACAAACTTTGAAAACTGTTAGTAGCCCAATTAGCTTCCTCTAAATTAGGTTTTAAGTGTGCGAACAGCTATCTAACAAACTAACATCAACAGATTTTTGTCAGTACCAACATTACTCAGCTCCAAAGAGACAAAGACGTGGAATGCAGACTGAGTGACAGTCGTCTCAGTAAGCAAATAGATTAGCAATGTAATATTTTTAGTTGGCAGATAATCACTGAGCGAAGCCAACTTTTTGGCTAGCGGTTAGCTGTGACCACCACTACTCACCACAACAGCAAGTAAAACTCTCCCACATTTACTTTTTTAAAATTAATTAATTTATTTGTTTGTTTATTATTTAGAACATACAAATAAACAAGGGCTCAGATGTCCTAACAAAGCATTCTTACTTTTAATAGTATTTCTGTATTATTTATTTCACATTTAGTCAGTCATACACGTAGTACTTCAGCGTTATGAGAATGTGTTAAAACACTGTTTCTATGCAGGAAATACCAGGTAGAGCTCAGCTACTGTTTGTTAGCGGTGGTTAGCCATAGCAATGAGATGAGAGACATGATGTTTTCTGTTGAGTTAAAGTTAATTACAACTGGCCCTCTGAGGGCCTCCATAATGCTCATGTCTCCCTCAGTGAAAATGAGTTTGACACCCCTGATCTGCACAACTCTAACAAAAAACTGTACTGACTGAAGATCAATTGAGCAATTATAGCTTGTATTTTTTTTATTTCCATTTTCCTCAGTAAATCTTTCAGCACATAATTAGTTTGATGCTAACAAAGTCAGGGTAAACTAAGACAGACACAGAAAAAAAAATAAAGATTTTTAGGGCACAGAGAACATGTGCTAAATAGGCTGTTATGTTCTTGTTTTTGAAAAATCCTGTTTCTCAAACCTACAAATATTTTTTCAGTGTATTTTTACTCATACACACCTAACAAAAATGCTGAAATACCCAAACCATGACAATAAGTTTCTAGTACATCAAGTTGCCTGAAGAACCTCTTGTTCAACCATGACCTCTTCACCCGACAGGTCATGATTTCTCTTGGACCAAACTCTTTCTAATAAAGCTTTCTTAGAAACAAACTCTGGACAAGCTTTCATTAATCTGTTCCTGTCATGCAGATCAAGCTGATTCAACAGTGTGTTTTAATCTTTTGTATATATAAAAAAAGAAAAGAATCATTAACATTTCTGCAACATGACAGGTAAAACAGTGTAGGGCAGAAACAGTAATCACCCGTTCTGTTTCTCCCCTCTTCTCACTACAATCCATATTTGCAGCATATCAAAATACAGAGAAGGAACTTTTTCCTAAAGATTCTGAAAAAAATATTTTTAAAACAATTCACTGCGTCCTCTCAGTTATTGATCATTTTAGCACAAAGTTTGACAGTGACAGGAACTCCATGTGCCAAAGCGTTTGCTACACCCTCATTATTAAAACGCTCTGTACTTCCTGTCTTCACATCCACCATGTATGTCGTTTTTAAGAGACCTTTCACATGAGGGATTTTTGTGAATATTCAAATGTATTTATACCTAACCTTCAAGCAGTAGCCTTCTGTATGCATTCTGATGCTCCACACCTTGTTTCCTGTTGATGGTATATTTCTATGACCACATTACAGCATCACATACAGGCCTGGCATAGTTACTGTGGTGTTTTAGATAATTTTCCGTGTTACCATATGGATGAAGACAGTTCTTAAAATGTTGTTGTGTTTGTGTGGATATTTTTAGAAAARGACATAAAAAATAGTTGTGTAAAAACTGCATTTACATGCTGTCTTTACAGCTTTTAAAATGTCTGTTTTTCTCACAGAACACTGTGTGCAGGAGCTGCAATTGCAGCATTTTTCACTGCGTTTTTGTTTCTACTGCACAGCTTCATTTTATGAAATGAAGTTGTTACATTACTAAACACAATAGTGAATTGGTCATTTTGTACCAAATCTTAGTACCTTATTCATTAAGTCTTTATATTACTCTTGAATGATCAGAGATTTTTGGTTATGTCATGGAGATGACACCTAGTATCTCACCTGCACACTAAAGTAACTGATATCCCAGATAGCAAAATATGAGTGAATCAACATTGAAATATGGTTAAGCATCAACATTCATCAATGTTGAAATTATACAAAATACAAAAAACTGCAGAAACAGAAAATATAAAATACAATACTGCATCTATTTAATCAATCAGTTACAAAATTTCCTTCACTTTGATCGGTCTGCTTACCCCTACCTCACTGACAAAAACTGGATTAAATTCAACACAACCATTCAGACTGTGATTGCTTTTAAAAACATCAGGGCCTTCATATATACAGGTGCTGGTCATAAAATTAGAATATCATGAAAAAGTAGATTTATTTCAGTAATTCCATTTAAAAAGTGAAACTTGTATATTATATTCATACATTACAAACAAACTCATATATTT